AGAGAGGGAGATCTTCCCTCCACTGGTTCACTCCCAAGCGGCCACAAAAGCTAGAGCTGAGCCAATTAAAAGCCAAGAGCTCCTTCCAGGCCACCCATGCAGGTGCAGGGTCCCAAGGCTTTAGGCCGTCCTCGACTGCTTTCCCAGGTTACAAGTAGGAGCTAGATGGGAAGCAGGGCTGCCAGGATTAAAACTGGCACCCATACGGGATCCCGGCACATGCAAGGTGATAATTTTAGCCACTAGGCTCCTGCGCCAGGCCCTGAATACACATTCTATGACACAAAATTATTCTTTTCCTTTCTGCTTTCTGTGCATCCTTATTTCAAAAAACTGGTGTCAGGAAAGGGGCAGACCTGGCTAGACAGAATGGCAACCATCAGCATGTGTGGGGCTGGATAGTGGGCCCCGTTGGGTTGAACTAGGCTTCAATGCCCACTGACATGAGAGCTGAATGAGATGAAGGACACACTGGAGCAGTCTGCTGTACATACTGGCAAGCACGGAAACCAGGGCAGGGGCCGACCTGGTGGGGGTTTTATGGGTCGCCCTGACTAGGCTGCAGCTCCCACTGGTTTATGTGGGAGCCATGTATGTGGTGAGCAGAAACAGGCTGGACTGCAACACCCATTGGTTTGTGAAAGACAAGGCTGGAAACAGAAATGACCCAGCAACTGCAACTACCAGCTCATTGGGGCAACGGACTATGCCAGGCCCTATACTAGCATGCACACATAAGAATCTGGTCTGGGATCACCTCAGACAAAGTTTCTTTGGGGATCCCTCCAACTGAACTGCTGATCTCAGAACCCAAACCATGAAAAGAAGTGCAGGTTCCATGGTCTGACCATGGAGTACAAGTGCCAAAGCTGAGCATCCTCAGAGGCTCAGACGGAGCAGTAGATAGCATATCCAGGTGCACGTGGAGGATATGGCAGTCCATCAGAATCTGCACAGGACACTTGGTACCACAACAGAGAACAGAGGACAGAACAAATCAATCAACTACCCCAACCATGTGTTGACAGTAAAAATCTGGGCAAACAGAGACTCTAAGGTGGACTAGGTCAGCCAGTGGATTCTGGAGAGATTTCATCGTGCTTGGAATCATGAGACTGGCAGCAATTTAAAACTAATGAACTATCAAAACCATTTGAGCAGAGCCCTCACAGTATGCCCCACGTCAGGGACCTGGAATGGGTGGGAGGCTGGATAGGGCTTCTCCCTTTGTCTCCCCCTTACCCCAAATACAGGAAAAAAAAAAAAAGGCAATAATGTGGAAACAATGGTCTTTCCCACTTTCCTGCAGCCCTTGACCCTTTGTGCCCTAACCAACTATGTAAAGATTGTCCAAAAAAAACTGGTGTCTCTTGGAGGCCAGCACCATGGCTCAACAGGCTAATCATCCACACTCTGGTACAAGCATCCCATATCGGCACCAGTTTGTGACCCCTCTACTCCACTTTCCATCCAGCCTCCTGCTTATGGCCTCAGAAGCAGCAGAAGATGGCCCAAAGCCTTGGGACCCTGCACCCACATGGGACACCCAGAAGAAGTTCCTAGTTTCTGGCTTAGGATCAGCCCAGCTCCAGCTGTTGTGGCCACTATGGAATTGAACCAGCAGATGGAAGACCTTCCTCTCTCTCCTCTCTGTAAATCTAGCTTTCCAGTAAAAATAAATAAATCTTTTAAAAAAAAAAAAAAAGCCTAAATCTTAAGGTCATGAATCAGCCAAAATGGCTTGGGGTCACAGCAAGAACAGCATAGGGGAAAAGGAGCACAAGGATCCCTCCTCATTCCCCATGCCCAGGAGCTGACCAAGGGGATCCTGGAAGGCACCTGCATGGAGAATCTGACACTCTCCTGACTGCAGTTGACTGGATGGCCTGACGGAGACCCAAACATTCCAATTCTCTCTCACAGGAAATTAGAATTGGCTCTAGCATTGAAGTTCCATCTGGGCTGGTCTCTAACAGGAACAAACCCAAGAAGATGTGAGTGAGTGGCCCCTTTCACCTTCAACAAAGGCCAAAGAGCAGCCAAGCCTCCACCAGCTCTCTCCCCAGCACATGGGCTATGTGGATCACACCCTGACATTCAGGCTAACATGGGTGGCTTCTGACCCTGCAACCAAAGAAGGCTAACTCATCCCGGATCAACTCTGCCTCTAACAGTCCCTCAGTGAATGGCAGCACCATACCACCTTTTGCGCCCTAAGAGGGGGCGGTCAGCTTGCATGCTCTACAACCAACCCTCACGCTTCTACCACCTAAACAGATCTCGACCCCCTGGTCCCTACCCTCCTCTATCCCTCTGCCTGCCACTCAGGTGCCGAGCAACTCTCCCACTGCATCTCAGCCAGGCTTGCTCCCTCCAAGGCTCTTAGAGTCTGCCTGCTCGGCCTGAGAGCTCACCAGCAGCCCAGAATGAAGCGCGAAGGCCAAACCAAGCATTGTGCTGTCCCAGGGCCTCTGCCCTCAGCCCCATCTCACACTGTGCTGGGCCCACACCATGCACCAGCACTGGGCCTCTCTCACTCAAGAGACCCTCATTTTCCCTGTCACCTCCCAGAGTTTATAGTTGGCTGCCTCTGTCCCATGTACTCTCCACTCTAGCATCTCCTGCTTCCTCCTACTCACCTGTTTCAGCTTCATTTCGATACCTCCCCCATCTAGGAGCCTTCCTAACCTTGTCAGACTGGATAAGGACCTTGGTGGTATACTCCCCTGGCACAGGCTGTACCGTGGTTCTTCTCTGACTTGACTAAGATCAATTTCCCTATCTATCTCTCCAAGCTGCTCCCTGGGGCAGAGTCCATCACGTTTACTGACACACTCAATTCAGGCACAAAGCAACATCTCAACACTGAATGAACAGATGAATGGCAACAGCTGAGTTAGGAACAGGGGCTATGGCCGCAGCCAGGTAGGCTACCACCTGTGATACCAGCATCCCGTATCAGGGCACCAGTTTGAGTCCTGACTGCTCTCCCTGCTAACAAGCCTAGGAGAGCAACAGAGCATGGCCACAGTGTAAAGGCCGCTGTCAACCTATATGGGAGAGACAGATGGAGTTCTGGGCTCATGGCATGGACCAGGACATCCCTGGCTGTTGTGACCATCTGGGGAGTAAAGCAGAGGATGGAAGATATCTCTCTCTCTCATCTTGTCTCTTTCTGTGTCAGTCTGCTTTTCAAATAAATCAATCTAAAAGAAAAAAATTCAGAATTAATTACTTTGGGGCCAGAGCAGTGGCATAGCAGGCTAATCCTTTGCCTACAACAGGAGCATCCCCTATCAGTGTCCATTCATATTCCGGCTGCTCCACTTCCCACCTAGCATCCTGCTAGCGGCCTAGGAAAGCAGTCGAGGATGGCCCAAAGCTTTTGCCACCTGGCACCCACGTGGGAGATTCAGAAGAAGCTTCTGGCTCCTAGCTTCAGATCAGCTCAGCTCCAGCCACTGCGGCCCCTTGAGGAATGAGCCAGCAGATGAAAACTCTTTCTCTCTGAGTCTCTTCTTTCCGTAAACCTGCCTTTCCAATACAAATAAATAAATTTACAAAACAAATAAACAAAGTAAGGGGTGACAGAGATGGGCCGGGAGCACACTTTTGGCCCAGCAGTCACCAGGCCCACATCCTGTACTGGGAGTACCTGGATAGACACCCTGCTGCGCTTGCCGGCTCCAGCTTCCTGCTGATGCACACCCCTGGGAGGCAGTGATGGCTCAAGCACATGGGCTCCTGCACTTCACCTGGGACACCTGCACTGAGTCTGGGATCCACCCTTCAGCACAGACCAGTCCTAGCCACTGCGAGCAGCTGGTGAGCGAGCCTGTGCACGGTGGCTCTCTCTCTGTCTCTTGGATTTAAACAAAACACCAAAAAACTGCTACCTTCATAGAGTTTGCATACCACAGTAGCTATATATACATGTGTATATGGTATGTGAGATGGTGTAAGTGCTATGCAACAGGTAACAAGAGGTTGCACTTAATTAAGTAGGGGATGAGGCCAGCACGGTGCCACAGCAGGCTCCTGGCTTCCGCCTGGCCCAGCCCTGGCAGCTGTGAAAATGTGAGGAACAAATGAAGGGATGGTAGATCTTGATCTCTCTCCTCCCCCTCTCTATCTTATAAAAAATTTAAAATACATAAAAATTGTAAACAGACACTAATCTAAAGGAATAACAAATACATAAAAAGGTAAGGCATGGAAAAGTTTGCACTGAGAATGATCCTTTTTAACCCACAACTGACTGAAGAGAGGGAGAGAACCTTAAGATTATCTGGAGGAAGAATCAACAGCAACAGCCAGGGTAAAGAAAAAAAAACCCACTAGCAGAGTGGGGAGAACAAGGCAAAGCAGGGGCAAGAAACTTCTCGCTTTCCAAAGCTGAGCTGGCACCCCCCAACTGACTTCTCCCAGGAAGGTGATCTGCCTCCTCTGTCCCACACCCTTACCAAGAGGCCTTGTGGTACTTTTCCACTGCAACCCATCAACACCACCTCAGCTAGCCTGCCTCTTCTAGAGACAGTGTGCACCACCTCCCTGGTGAACCGGACAAGAGAGGGCCGAGGGTCGAGCCGATCCCCTCCCAGACTTCTCTGACCACCCCACGCCAGCCCAGCTTCTGAGAACAGCATGGTTATCGCTCAGGATTCTCTGCCAACATCTGGCAGATGCTCAATATCTTGTCTAACTACCCCCTCCCACCACCAAACACACTTCCTTCGGCATTCAGCAGCCCCACTTCAAGTGTCCAGGAGACGAGGAGAGTGAAGACATGACCACGGCAGGCCTGGCCGCACTCAGTGCCCCCCGGAAGGATGCCATGTGTCCCGAGCCTGCATCCTAACTCCCTAGCAAGTTGACCAACTTCACCTCCAGTCAGTGGACACGTTTACGGGAGCCAATCTTTCCACCTCCTCAAGTCCGTCCCAAGGCCAAACTCTAACTCCACGGACAGTATTGGGAGAGAGGGGGAAGCCGATACTCACATCCCCCTTATGCAGCTCCGGCGCCGCGATCTTCACGGGCTCAGTCCTCTTCTTTGGCTTGGGAAGCCCCAGGGTGGGCCCGGCACCGCCGACAGGGGGGGGCAGGCTGAGGCCAGGGCCTCGGGGCGAGGGCAGCCCCAATCCCAGCCCCTCCCCAACTCCCGCAGCCTCAGCAGGGCTCACCCCCGGAGGTGGGGGGAAGCCGCCCAGGCCGAAGGGCAACGGGGGAGGAGGCTGGAGCCTGGGGTCTCCGGTAGGTGGGGGCAGCAGGAGCGGTGGGGGGAAGGCTGGGGGCAGCATCTGAGGGGGCGGGGGCAGCAAGGCCGGACCCTTAGGTGCAGGGAGAGAAGCGAATAAGCCCCCTAAAGTGGGCCCAGATGTAGGGGCCTCTGCCTCCCCTTCCTCCGGCTCCGGCTCAGCCTCGTCCGGCTCACTTTCATCGCTGCTGGCGTAAGCAACCAGCGACATGGTGCCTCCCGCCTTTGGGGCGCCCTTGCCGGCAGACAAGGCCTACTTGAGACCGGGGATGCCCGGAGGCCTAGTAGGCCCCGCTTTTCAAAAGGGCGGGGAACCAAAAAGCTTATTTGTTCTGTACTCTTAGGTCTAGCTCCGGCAAGAGCCCATGGCCATGGGTGAGTTCCACCGAGTAAAGCCTTCCCTCTTCACTTAAGCTCCTAGTCCCGGACAACTACACACAGCTAATGGCCGCCGAGTCACTCCGCCTCCTCCTCGGCGCACCAACATAAGAACTACCACTCCCAGAGAACACTTTGAAAACAGTTCCGTTCTCCACCACAGGGATCTCAGCACAAGGCAGGGCGGGAATTGGAGTCCGAGGACGGATTAAGTGGCGCGCAGAAAGACTGAGGGAAGCCCGCCTCTGGCGCAAGGGCTTGTGGGTTGAGTAGTTTTGTTGTTTACGTGATACTGCCTAAAATGACTACAAGCCCCATCGGCCACCGCGGTAGTCACCGAGATTGTAGGAGAGCATTTCGGTACTTGAAGTTCGCTAGGACGCGCTAGGATTTATGGGAAATGTGGTGTACTTAGAGTGCCGTGCTAAAGAAAGGGAGTCTGGGAAGGTGGAGGATTGTCCGGGGAACGCGGAGAGCCGGCGGGGGGCGGTGTAAATAGCTTAAAGGAAACGTGATCTGTAAATGAACTGATGGAGCTCTCAGAGTCGGCTGAGCCTGGGAAAAAGGCTCTTATACGCCCGGTAAAAGAGCCGAGAAATCCGTACGAAACGAAGCTGCAAGCCTCCAGAAAGAAAGCAAGGCTACAGGCCTAATAATAAACATTTAAAATAGCTGAAACAATGTGGCGAGCTCCTTTGCCATGACCAGGATGCACACCCAGGAGCACACCACGCCCATTGGCCTCGGCCATACTCTGCGGATCGCTGGGAGCCAGGGGCCTGTTCGAAACTCCTCGGCTCAACACGGCCAAGGGACGGGCTCGGACTCTCAGGCCGTTTCCCTTCGTCCATCCCTCCCAACCTGTGTCCCCCTGCATCTGCAGGTGCCCTCTGCCTCCCGGGGTGTCTGCAAGTGCTTCCTGCAATGCCTAGGCCTGCGTCCTGGGTTCTAGTTAGTTGTATTTTCCCTTCTGGTCCTTCTACAAGTATGGATAACACTATCCAGTTCATCGTGCCTGTCTCATTTGCTCCTGCATGGGTGGAGCATATTTTTGTTTGATTTCTGGGTACTTGTGTTCAAGCTTCAATATCTTGCATGAGCATCCTGAAGCGAACTTCTCACCAGTGCTAACTCCTGATTCCCGTTCACTCCGTGTGGGATGGGGCCCCCAGACATCTAGATCTTGGAGACGCTCACGAGTTGAATGCTGAGCAGGTGCACTTGGAGAAACTGGCCTAGCAGGTGCTGCCTGGCAACTGGCAAGCGCTGAACCAGGCACATTGCTCCAGCCTGCCCTGGAATCAGGCTTGCCAAGCCTCACACCATGTCTCACTTTCTACCTCTGGAAAATGCATAGAGCATTATATACAACCCTGCCCTACTCCGTGCGAGGAAAACTGACAAACTGTTCAGGACTGAGAGAAGTGACTGTTCGTGCTACTCTTCAACACGGCTTGCTGGCGGTCAAGAGAGGCGCAAGCACCTGCCTTTGCTTAACACCCATATTCTTAAAAAAAAAAAAAAAAAAACAAGATAATTGTTTTTAAGATTTATTTATTTGTATTGCAAAGCCAGATATACAGAGAGGAGGAGAGACAGAGAGGAAGATCTTCTGTCCGATGATTCACTCCCCAAGTGGCCACAATGGCTGATGCTCAGTCAATCCAAAACCAAGACCCAGGAGTTTCTTTCAGGTCTTCCACATGGGTGCAGGGTCCCAAGGCTTTGTGCCATCCTCAACTGCTTTCCCAGGCCACATGCAGGGAGCTGGATGGGAAGCGGAGCAGCCAAGACATGAACTGGCACCCATATGGGATCCCAACACATGCAAGGCAAGTACTTTAGCCATTAGGCAACTGCACTGGGTCCTTATGTCCATGTTCTGAGTCTTCTTACTGAAGAGATTAATGATCCATTTTCTCAGGGATAAACTTTGCTCACAAAAATGTTGTTTTTTGGGGCCAGCGGCATGGCCTAGTAGCTAAAGTTCTCACCTTGAATGCACCAGGATCCCATATGGGCGCCAGTTCTGATCCCAGCAGCTCCACTTCCCATCCAGCTCCCTGCTTGTGGCTTGGGAAAGCAGTCAAGGACGCCCAGTTCTTTGGGCTCCTGGCTTCTGGCTTCAGATCAGCTCAGCTTAGGGAGTGAATCATCAGATGGAAGATCTTCCTTTCTGTCTCTCCTCCTCTCTGTATATCTGACTTTCCAATAAAAATAAAATCTTTTTAAAAAATTGTTTTCCAGGGCCCGGCGCAGTGGCGCAAGTGGTTAAAGGTCCTCGCCTTGCACGCCCGGGATCCCATATGGGCGCCGGTTCTAATCCCAGCAGCCCCGCTTCTCTTCCAGCTCCCTGCCTGTGGCCTGGGAAAGCAGTCGAGGACGGCCCAAGGCTTTGGGACCCTGCACCCGCGTGGGAGACCCGGAAGAGGCTCCTGGCTTCGGATCGGCATAGTATCGGCCCGTTGCGCTCACTGGGGGAGTGAATCATCGGACGGAAGATCTTCCTCTCTGTCTCTCCTCTCTGTATATCCGCCTTTCCAATAAAAAAAATAAAATAAATCTTTAAAAAAAAAAAAAATTGTTTTCCAGACACTGGCATTCTGGTACAGCAGGTAAAGCTACTAGTTCCAGTGCTGTCATCTGATAGTTCAAGTCCTGGCTGCTCAGCTGCCAATCCAGCTCCATGCTAATAGCCTGGGAAAGATGGCCCATGTAGTTGGATCCCTGCCACCTGAATGGGAGATCTGGAAAGAGTGCCAGGCTTTGGCCTTCAGCCTGGCCCAGCCCTGGCCATTGAAGCCAGGAGAGTCAAACAGTGGAGAGAAGATTTCTTTGTCTCTCCTTATCTCCCTGACACTCCACTTTTCCCATAAGTAAAATTAATTTTTAAAAAAGTTTTAAACTTTTTCAAGCAAGAAATTGATAACATAAATTTTTTTAAAAGATTTATTATTTATTTTTATTGGAAAGGCAGATATACAGAGAGGATGAGACAGAGGGGAAGGTCTTCTGTCTGATGGTTCAACCCCCAAGCAGCCACAACAGCTGCAGCTGAGCTAATCTGAAGCCAGGATCCAGGAGCTTCCTCTAGAATCTCCCATGCGGGTACAAGGTCCAAAGGCTTTGGGCCATCCTCTACTGCTTTCCCAGGCTGCAAGCAGGGAGCTGGATGGGAAGCGGGACTGCCAGAATTAGAACCGGTGCCCATAAGGGATCTTGGCACGTTCAAGGTAAGACTTTAGCTGCTACACTATCACACAGTGCCCAATAATATAAATTTTTAGGGAACCATTTTTAGGACAGGAAAGGTATTTTTCACTTTGTATTCGTTTATACATTTGGAAAGTTTTAACCAGTAGAGGCCAGCACATTGAGTAAAAGTGAGTAAAACTGCTAGTTACGGCACCAGTATCCCATATAGGCACTAATTTGAATTCTGATGGCTCCACTGCCAGTCCACCATCCTGCTGATCACCTAGGAAAATTAGCAGAGAAATGGCCCCAAATTGTTGGGCCCCTGCCACCTGCCACCCACATGAGAGTGCCAGATATATATATATGATGGGTTCAGTACTTGGGTCTCTGCCACCCACGTGATTTGGAATTTCTGGCTCCTGTGGTCAACCGGCCCAGCCCTAAATACTGTGGACATTTGGGAAGTGAGCCAGCTGATGAAAGATCTCTCTCTTCATTGATGAAGTGAAATTTAAAAAAATTTTAGCTTCAAAGTCTTCCATGAGAACCTACTGAAATAAACAGACATACTTAATTTAGTTCTCTGCATGAGACTCTACTAGAATATCCATAAGGGACATTTTTAAGAAGATAATAAAGGCATTACAGATCATTTTGAAAAGTTTCAAACACACAAGATGGGGAGTTAGGGAGGGGATGGAACTGGAACAGCATTTTGGAAGATGGAAAGCAGGTGCACTGCAGGTGGTGGATTTGTCCATCCTAGAAGCCCTGAAGGGAGGTGAGGCTCATCCTGTCTGTGCCCATCTGGAGCAGAGCACAGAGGGCACTGAAACTCTGAAAATGAAGGAAATCCAGGGTGGGCTAAATGCTCCCTAAGAAACTCAGAACCAGTGCTATGGCTCAATAGGCTAATCCTCCACCCTATGATGCCAACATCCCATACAGGCACCGGTTCATGTTCTGCTGCTCTACTTCTTATCTAACTTCCTGCTTGTAGCCTGGAAAAATAGTATAAGGATGGTCTTCCTTCACCCATGTGGGAGATACAGAAGAAGCTCCTGGCTCACGGCTTTGGATCATCCCAACTCGTCATTTTAACCATTTGGGGAATGAACCACTGGATGGAAGATCAGAAACCCACATAAACTCCCTCACTGCTTGTCACTGGACACCTGCTTGTGCCCAACCCCAGAAAAATTAATAGTGGTGGGCCCGGCACGAGAGCATAGTGGTTAAAGTCCTCGTCAGGATCCCATATGGGCACCAGGATTAGATTATAATTCACCGGGATTAGAACCGGCGCCCGTATGGGATCCTGGTGGCCTCACTTCCCATCCAGCTCCCTGCTTGTGGCCTGGGAAAACAATTGGAGGATGGCCCAGAACCTTGGGACCCTGCACCCACATAGGAGACCTGGAAGAAGCTCCTGACTCCTGGCTTAGAATTGGCTCTGCTCCAGCAGTTGCGGCTGCTTGGGGAGTGAACCATTGGACAGAAGATCTTCCTCTCTGTCTGTCCTCCTCTCTGTATATCTGACTTTGTAATAAAAATAAATAAATCTTTTTTAAAAAAGAAAAGAAAAAGTAAGAGTAGAGTTTTTCATAAGAGGGAATAAAGCCGACATTTTCTGCTATGCAGGAAGCCAGGTCCTGGGACAAGGGAGTGGGGTGGCGTAGAGATCAGGAGAGGTATGTGAGGTATCCAGACCCCAGTCCAATTTTCCTTAAAGTTCACTTTTTAAAAATATTTATTTATTTATTTATTTGTTTATGATTAGAAAGTCAGATGTACAGATAAGAGGAGAGACAGTAGGATCTTCTGTCTGCTGATTGACTCCTCAAGCAGGCACAACGGCCGGAGCTGCACCAAGCCAAAGCCAGACAGTTTTTCTGGGTCTCCCACAG